TTTTGACAGTTCAAAGCAGGCCACCACACCTGGAACATCTTCTGGGTGATAGCTGCCCAGATGAATGGGCAGGGGGCACAAATGGCAGTAGTGCTGCACAAAGGCCAACCCTGCAACCGCAGTGCACTGGCAGCTGGCCCAGAGGGGCAAATGCCTCTACTGGCTGTGCAGTCCCCATCTGAGTCTGGCAGGTGCACAGCAGGTCACAGCCAGGCAGCAGCCACCACTGCCAGACCCCTGCAGTGGGTAGAGCGTGCAGGGAACTCTCAGGGCTGCTTCAGCAGTCTAGCTGGCACAAGAGGTAGTGTCCCCAGGTACCAATTGGCTGGGCCCCAGAAGCTCCTGAGAGCTAGTTGCCCTGAGCTACTCGCCAGGGCAGCTTTTTATACTGCTGGGGACAGCACAGGTGCTGGCCCTGGGCTCCCCCTGGCTGAAGATCTGGGAGGAGCCAGGCAGGGTTATTTTGCCCCAAGTGGCACAATTTGCTCGACAACAAAGTGCATGTCTGAGCACGTGCGCTGAGGCAAAAAGCTCCAGCTTAAATTTGCACCGCTTCTATTTGAGCTGCTGCAAGCGCATGTGCTTGCATGTGTGGATGCGCCCAATAATGGCAGTTCAACTACTGGGTGAGGAAAAGGGGACCGAGTATAAAGTAAAGCATGTAGCAGTTGGTTACAAATTACTCTTCCTTGCGCATGTTAGTTAGTCCAAGTGTGAGTTGTCTCCTCTTTGCTTGTAAATCACAGTCTTTTTGTATATTAGCTCAATGCCAAATGAGTGGAATTTTATTGCAGAAGGTGGCCTTGTGAGAACAATAACATAGAGAGAATATAGACATTTTTATAACCATTGTTTAAGCCTGCTCAAACTAGGGTTAAAACACCTAAATTAGTACTCTACTGTTATGGGAATACATCAGCACTTAAAAGCGACTGTGAGAAAACAAAAGAAAAAGACTACTGCAGACAAGATCTGTTCTGAAATGGCCCAAGGATCATATTTAGCCTTCAGGATTATCCCTCTTGTTAGACTCCTTAAGAGTTTGGGGTTTGAGAGGTATAGTAAAGTTCATGATTGTTTGCTTAGGGAGAACAAAAGTTCAGCAAGAATTGTACTTTTTTTTTTAATTGTACATGCACGTCTGGGACCTTTGGCTTCAATGTCAAAGTGAATATGTCACTTTTGCCCATAGGGGGTATAGGAGCAACAAGTTGTAATTTATGCTGGCTGGGGCTAGATTTAGGCTTAACTACTTGGATGTAGGGAGACCTGACCCTACTGAAATAGATGAGGATTTAGAAGCTCCACATTTGCAATGAGAACTCGAAATGGCTTTAAAAAAGCCTAAAATTTAATGTTTGTAGAGGAACATAATGTTCTTCACCCTTATCACAGAGCTGCTGCTGAAAAGGAGGAATCCCACAGAGAGAGTTTAGAAAAGACAGAAGCTGATAATTCTTGATAGTAATGATGCAATTTAATGGTGACAGCTTGAAACAGAACATTATGCTGAAAAACAAAGTTGACTTTTAAACATGAAACTTGGTAGCATCACTATTATTCGACTTCTGAAAAAAGCAATAGTTTAAGGCACTGAATATGTTTTAAAATATATTTATTATTTTAATAAAATTTAAAGGAATTAGTGTTAAAACATTAAAAACTAAAAACAGCCATTCTTAGAAAAAAAGAAAGCAAATATGCATTCCTGTGCATCAAAACATACCAACATACAAAGGACTTCAAGAATAGTGGCACTTTATGAATAATGGCACTGCAATACCTAATGTTGCTCAATGATCATGCTGGCACTTTTTTCCCCCTCCTTAATATTTTATTTTAAAATCTCAGCACAGTCCATGTCTTTCACAGGTAAAGGCAGAACTGGTGTAAACTGCACAGAATTTTAAAGGTACTGTTATTTAAAATTTATTGTTATGGTGTTTATAGGCACCATATTTCTCTCCTTGATCTGAAATTCAACACTGTGTGTGAAATAATACTGTGTGTACAGTGCCACCAGTACAATGGACCAGATCCAATTGTGTCCTGAAGGCAACGCTTATCAGGATTCTACAACTAGATTAGCTTTATCTCCACTTGTTTCTGATATTGGTAACACTACACTTAAAAAAGAAATGTTTACTGACATGGCAATGTATTAAAGGAAAGACTCTGAATCCTGAGCTACTATGGAAGAGGTTGGCTCTTGGAGTTAGGAGAATACTGCTAAGTGAAGAGATAATACGTGTCTGTGTGAGCACACGAAAGTGAGGTCCAAGGGACTAAGCATGTCACTGGGAACCTCCTGCTCACTAATATTAGCTCCATCACTGCTGACTTTGTGACTGTAGGCAAGGCACTTAACCTCTGTGCATCTCAGTTTCACTAACTGTCAAATGGGGCAGTAAGGGCATTTGGACTGGATCAAGTAATTGTCTTTACTCCAGGCTCTGTTGATTTCACTATTCTCATTTGTAAGGCATTTCTTCTCACTCCGCTGTGGGATGGTATTCAAGTTTATCATAGCACATAGTTTTTGACAATGAGAATGTTTCATACCTTATTATTACAATGAAGACCATGTCCCTGTATTGGGGAAAATGGTGCAACCCCTGTGGCCATGTCCAGATGAGTGCAGCTGTGTGGTATGTGGCACCTCAAACACATCTGTGGTGCCACATACCGCACATTTAGATGTTCTCCGAGCATGCTGCCTGTGTGAGCACTGCTCCACTTCTTTTTTCCATGGGTTTTTTTGAAACCTGCATGCACAGGCAGCACTCACCACTCAAAAGTGGAGCCAGGCCACCTGGAGCCACGCTCTGGCTGCTGGTTAGTCTCCGAGTAGCAGAATTGCTGCTGGTGCAGCCCCAGGAGACCCCCAGGACCACAGGTAAGGCTGCTGGCCTCAGCCTCCCTGACCTCACCCAGGGTAACTTGCCACACATTGAAGTGCACATGGCATGGGCATTCCCCAGAGACAAGTAGCGGCAGCACAAGGTGCTCTACTGCTACTTGTCTCCAGGGAACTAAACATCCATTCTTGTCTGATTGTGGCCTGTGTGTCCGTGTGGATCTTTCCACAGGTTCTGAGCCTAAGGAAGCTTGAATTTAATCCATCTCTCAACTATTTCCATACTGACAGCTACTTCAACTCCCTGGTCAGTAGGTGTTTTAAAAAACACGATACAGCACTGGAGCTCCATTTTTGTGTCACATGATGAGCCTGGAAGGAGGTGAATTATATTAGCAGTACTTTCAATTTTTCTGATTTTCTTTGGTTGTTACCAGGATAAAATACATTTAATTGACATTATCTAGCTTCAGCAAAAGCACACTTCATAATATGTAATATAGTTATGAATGAACTATTTTAGAGTTTTGTCATGCGTACATATTGTATTAAATATAAAAAATGACAAAACAAGCAAGCATGACCCACCTAACTCAACATACACATGTAACACATTTTAAATTGTATGCTTCCTTTTCTGTTTCAGTGAATCCATGCTCCTGTCTAAGTTTACTCATAAAATAGTGTATCATGATAAGTTCAGCCATGTACTCCTTCCACTGTTAAAAGTACCAACGAAGTAGATAGTTTTGGCTGTGAAAGTAAAGTAAAATACATCCTTCTGGATATTATTATATATGTGAAAAGAATTTTAAACTCTTACCAGACAGGTAAGAGACCTTCAAGATTACACACACCAGCTCAAAACAGAACTGCCATAATGAACTAATTAAAGTACATTGATTGTGTAAAGATACACTGCCTGATCTTCACACTCAATGCTGCAAAGTCAGTGCATCTCCACTGACTTTTAATGGAATCCCTCTTGCTTTACACAGCTGTTAACAAGAAGAGAATCAGGCTTGTAATGCTTCCTGACACTGTGATCAAATCCATGCTTATCACAGTGACTGAAGTAACCTATTATGCACGTAATGCCCAGTGTGACGATCAAGCTTCATATAGTGTACCACAATGCTTACCATGATGACAACAGGTTGTGCAATAAGGATCATTTAGTTCTATTATCTTCCTTTTTTCTTCATTTCTTTCCCTTTTTTTTTTTTAGCTTTTCTTCTTAATTTATTTAGATCACAAGTGATTGAATTATTCATTGATCAAAGCTCTCAGTTAACGGCTGCTGTGTTATTTCCTTTAATACAAATTATTTGTGTTTTGTTCAAATGAAACAGATAAAAAAAACAATGCCTGAATGAAGTGGAAGGTATTCTGCTACATTCCAAAATAAACTGACCTCTTCTTAACAGTGTGCAAAAAGTCATGATAAAAATTTTGTCTAAAACAACTAGGGGAAAAAAACGTCACTTTTTCTGGTGATAATGTTAGCAAGGCATTATCTTAGTCTCTTAATGTCTTGCTGAAACCAACAAATGCTGTACCTTTAAAAAGATACTATTTAAAAGGAAACTGTATTTGCTAAAAGTAGCTAATCTAAAACTTTTGATTAGTCATTAGTAACATCTGACAGAGCCACGCTAGGTAAGCAATATCAGCGTGCAAAATTCTTATTCAGATTTTGGTCGGAAAGTGGTGTCGGTTACATTCAAGAGTTTGTCAGCTATATTTTCCACATTTTTCTTCATAACCCTGAGATGATTCTCATGCAAGAGTTTCTGTGTTAGGTATTTCTCTCGTTTGATCTTGCTCTTGGTCTTTTTTGATACATCTGGAATTGTGTATGAAATAATAAACTTCACAAAATATATGATATGCTGGGGAAGGTAAAAATAAAAAGGGTTATTCACACAGAATAAGACTATTATTATAGAACAACACAGAGAAGAAATGTTGCTTTATCTCTTAGGATCAATGAGATTTGTTTTGTACCATAAAATCAGGACATCTGAGTGAAAACAGTAATATAGGCCCCTGGCAGATTGTCATGTTAATTTCAGTGTAAACAGCAACCCTGAAAAACATTCAATAAATTAATGCTGCTACAAAATAGAAAACCAGCCACAAAAATAGTCCGCAAAATATGCATTTTTTGTGTGTGTCTGGTTTCCATCATGACTTAAATTTAACGTGGTAGGAAAGTGACAACCTGGAGCCAGTTCCAGACTCCAGTGTGGTCCCAGTCCTGGAACTGCACCACAGCCAGGCATTGTAAAACCCAGATAATCATCCTCTTCTTCCTATTCAATACATGGCAAGAATTAGGCACCTGAGAAGTGATCCCTAGTAAACCTGAATATTAAGTAGGGAGCCACCTTCTGCTAGCCAGTGTCACTTGAACCACACCCTTTTCTGTAGTTCCTGATTAAGAGCAACCAGCACCTCCATCCACCCAGGATCCAGAGCCAAGAATATCTGCCTCAGAATGGTGCTTATAACTGTTCTTCCAAAGAACTGAGCTCTAAGGTTTGCTCTTACCTCTAAAAACTGAAGTGGCAGTGGTGATGCCCACCCTTTAAGTAGTAGCTTATGGGTCCTTTAGCCTCCCAAAAATTGGACTCAATGCCCACCTGCGTCTAAGGGACTTCAAACCCACATCTCCCATATTTCTATAAAGAGCCATAACCAGCTGGCACTTGGCTGTTTTGGGTGATGGGGCACTTCCATCCTTGTTGAAGGTGAGCCACTAGGCAGCAAAGCATTCACACCCACAGTCCTTGCAGCATGGCCTGGAACTCTGCTCTGATCACTAACCTGCAGAGGCATGCTCTGTCTAGACTCTGGTGTCTTTCTTGTACACTGGCACAGCTGCACCTGGAATAGCCTGCAGCCAGGTGGCAGCACAATCTCCAAGGAAGCTACAGATCCAAGACAGTGTCCTCTGGCAGACAGGTGAGAATGGATTCTGTTTCCTGCATTGTGGGCAAGCGTTTTAAGCCCTATGATACTATAAAAGGGGAGAACAGCACTATCCTCTCCTTAAGCTCTTTTGTCTTTTAAAAGGAAACAGTAGCATTCTGTGGGAAGACCAGTGGGGTGTGTGTGTGTGTTGGGAGGAGAGGGCATTCTGTAAGTGTGTCTTGTCAGTGGATGCTCAATGGGCTTAAATGAAAGGATACCTGGTTTCTGGAATCTCACTGGGCTTGGGCATGAGCTAGGAACCAAGCTGCCCAGCCTTATCAATACTGTTCTGTTCTGTGCATGTCCAGAAGCATAACTTTTAAAGTGGTTGGGAATGCTAAGATCAAGGACTGCAGTGCCTATGAAGCTGAGACCCCTTCTAGGCATCTAGGCAGTTGCTGACTAAGGGGTTTTAAGAATGCAGTTTATGACTTGGGCATCTGAACACCATCTGAATTCTATGTTTATGCTGCCAGCTTCTTTTTTAGATTTGGCCCATAATATCTAGGACTACCAATGTGCTAGACACTGTATGCATATAAAGATGAGGCCATCCCTTCTGCAGAAGAGTTTACAATACCAATGCATGACAAAGCAGTAGTTATATGCAATCTATAGACAGAAACCTGGGAGCACCAAGTTGCAGGGAGTCAGCTATGGCTGGTTTAAATAAACAGTCACAGTAGGCCGGCTATTAAGGACAGGGACATGAGATTTGGGATAGAGACTGGCAAGGGGTGTGCTTTGGGCAGGGTATGGTTCCGGCCTAGGACTTTAAAGAATTTGTCTTTATGGACTGCTGTATTTGCAGGAAGGGAGGAAAAACCTATTTAGTTTGACTGGGGAAAAAGTCAGGATCCAGAAAATCATACAAATTCTGAGAGTCAGACCTCCCATAGGTACAGTCAGACTGTGGATTCTTTAATGTCTGCACACCCACCACCCAAAACCTCTATTTTTACTTACAAGTGCTTCACTGATACTCATGGATACTGTGGGTCACGTTATAGTGGCTTGGAAATCCCAAGTTCTACTTTCAGGGCCTGTTTCCCAATGAGACCTTTTCCTGGTACTCTGGTTGTGTAAGAGGATTTCAAAATGTGTCCTCAGTGCAGAAAGCCTCCCTGGTCTGTATGAAAGTGATGGAAAGGCACTGCATTGACCCTAGTTCAGAACATGACCAAGACGCATAATTATCTATGACTATTTGTTGGTTTCCAAGCTTAGTGAGGGACACAGAAAAGATTGCATTAGTTAAAGCAGCTCTTAGGTCACTTTTGGGCCAGCCAACTCTATCTAATCATACTCTATTTCCATCCCCCAAAAAAGAAAAGAATAACTCAGAACTGGACCCACCAAACCTTGTCCCAGTATTGACACAGGAGACAGGATTTGCTCCCTTGCAGAATGGACAGCACAGCCTCACAGAAATCTGAGATCCACCAAGTTCTTCAGAAGCACCTGCACATAGGCCAAAGGCTGCTGTACAGCTCTCTAGGCTCCCATTTCCTACCCAGCAGCTTAGTTCTCCTTAGGAGCCATGCAGCTTTGCAGCTACTTTCAACATCTCTTCAAAATCCCACAAGAGAGAGAAGTTGCTGCTAGTCTGATCGCAGTGAGGTGCAGTCAGCACTGCCAACTGCTATTAAATTTCTGGCCCTCAGGATTATGGAGAAGGGCTTGAAAATGTGAAAACTAAGGTCTCAACAATCAGAAGGCAAATAATATATCCCAGACAGATGCTGTTTCAAAACAGCTCATATTTCTAAATTCAATTGCACAGATTTGCAAGGACTGAGCTCAAGATTTTTGTACACCTGGGGTTGGCAACATTAGGGTATCTAGGACCACAGAGCTGCTCTGTGGCTTTTCTCCCCAGCTTAACTCCTAGCATGGCAGAGCCCAGAATAGCACAGAATACAGCAGAGCAGCTGTTCTGCCTCCAGCACAAGTTTAGCACTAGATTTGAGCTTTTTATCATCCACCATATGGACTACAACAATGTGGCCATATTGTTGCTTACCTTAATAAAATCATTTAAAACTAATGCCTAGTTAGCATGTTTGGGTTGGGTGGGGATCCACAGGCACAAAGGCATGCACACAAGTTGCTTTAACAGACTCTTCCAATATTTTAAGTTCCCTAAGTAAGGATCTGCTAAATGCATAGATTCAGATCTTCAGTTAGGGTAAACTAGTATTGTTTCATTGCTATGCTGATGCAAACCCACCACAATACATTTTGTTAGCAAAGCAAACAAACTGATCACTTTGCAAAATAATTAACTTCAGTTTGTAGTTTTTGCTTGTGGGGAAGACTTATAAAAATTTACAGCTCTGTGGACTGACCTCCATGACAATGATGAAAGCGAGTTTGGCTGCGATCACATGCCAGTAGTATGTGTTGTGTTCATACTGATGTTCATGCCCAGGAGGATAGCGGAAATCACGGTATCTGTGGGCAATTTAAAAACACAAGACCATTTCAACAAGCTCTGCAGTAATACACTATGGCCAGGGGATGGAGCAAAACATGTCATGGCTTAATGCAGTCTGGAGTAGTAAGCTCTAAGCTGTAAACTGTATGTAGATAAACATGATAGATAAACTGTGCAACTACTAAATAAGCTAAACTTGTTGAAATTCATTTTCCTCAATTACATAATAAATACAACACAACAAAGACAGTGTTAATACAATGTATTCATTAGTGGTAGAAATCAAACTGAGCAAGGATTAATAAAAAGTGAAGTGAATAATACTGTTGTTTAATTTCACTTTTGACTCTTTCTGAGGTGAGCCGTGTATAAACAGGACTAAATTAGATTTCTATAAACCAGATGAGGATGTTTTCTGGATTATTCTTATGAAATGGAAAGAAAACTTATTTGACACTTGCCTGCATGTTGTTTGGTTATCAAACCAAGAGAGTGGAACTGGCTTGCTTTCCTTTCTGAAGTCTGATACAGCAAAGACAGAAAGCGTATTGTTTATGTAGCCTTTCATGGTATAGTCGCTGTGATTCCCATAGGGAGGGACTGAAAAGGACCAGTAATAAACCAAACGAGGTATCATGTCAGATGTAAAAGCAATTATCATTGCCTGCATTTTGGATGAAGACAAAAAGAAAACCGTATTTAACAAACTGCATTAATACAGGTAGTTTTCTTATACAATTTGCATTTCAACAGAATTGCATTATTTCATTAAAAACAGAATGTATGCACTTCCAATTCAGTAGTTCTTCCTGAAAAACAAATATGCCGTCACTCAGAGGCATAAAATGATCTTCTGTTGGAATGTACACTGTGTATAGCCTCTAAATTATACCAGCTCTGTTGGACCCCTTTAGAAAGTTGTGCAGTTAATGATTTTTTCTTATGGCTACTCAGAGCAGTTCAGCAACCAAACTAAACATGCAGCACTTTATAGTCGGCTACAGTAAACATGGTTACTCTGAGACCTACTTACCACATATTTTAAACAACTGCTGATTGCTGAATTGTGACTAAAATTACAGATTAAAGTCTGTTATTAAAAAAGAAATTAAACTGTATGAGGAATGCTTAGGCTTGAATTAAAAAAAACCCCAACCTCTATAGCTTATTCACTCCTGACCCCCAAAACTTTCCTGGTTTTTATGGGGGTTCTCTAGGCCAAGTTCATTTCTGCAGCTGCTGGCTCACAGGTTCCAGGTGTCATTGGACATGGAAACTATTTTTTATGCCAGGACAGTTTTTCCTTTCTTGATAGCAGCTGCCTGCTGCTGTTAAACATATTGCATGACTGCTTATTGCCATCCTGCTCCCAAGAGAAGCCATACTTCACTCCACTTGCCTGCTATAAAGCAAATATTGAAATCAGGCTTGTGGGTTTAATGGCAGTTACAGTAGTGAGCTCCTCAAGACAACTCTGTTCTAGATGATGGCTTCATCCTGGTTAATCCAATGCCTTCTCTGATTGCTGCCTATTCCTACGGAAAAGGATCTCCACTGTTAAGATCTGCTGCTGATCAATCAGGCATAAAGCTAGATTAATTAGCAGCACAATAACTGGAAAACTGCAGGTGCAAGGCAGTAGACAAAACCTTGATCATAGAAACAGAATGTGTAACCAATGCAGGGATGGGGAAAACTATGGAGACAGAAACCCAGAATGGGAAATACTGTACATAGAAGGGGAGAGAAAGTCAGTGTATATTGGTGTGCGATAGAAAAATGGGGAGAACATTTAAGAAAATAGGTGAAGAGAGAAAGTAAAGTTGAACTTCAGAGGTGGTATATATTTCTACTCTATTCACATTTATGTTAGCCTGGTTTTCCTAAGAGCCATTGTGTAATGCAATTGTATGTAATGCTCCTTCCTTTTGGGGAAACAGTGCATGTTGCAGGCTTAGGGTGGTGATGGGGCAAGCAAAAAAATCCTTGCCTAGGAGCTGTGCATGTGAGGGAAGCCCTGATTTGAAGATGCATTTTTAAATTATGCAAAACATAACATTACTCTACATATGTTGAGTAATATCTTATTCCCCAAACTCTGTGATAACCAAAATCCTACTTAATATAAGAATGAGGTGGCAGAAGCAAGGACAATTACACCCTGGTCACATCTGGGAAAAATTCCAACTGACTCCAGTAGCACAAGTATCGGGCCCTTTTAAAGTTCAAACTCGACTGAGCTTTGATGGTTTGCTGTTTAGTTGTCAAAACTTGCATTCATTTGGCTGATGAGTGGCAGAGGCTTCATAATAAAAGAATTTTGCGTTAAGTTTTCAAGGATAAATATCAACATAAGAAAGCTTTTTTATAATGTATTCTGGCATAGATTAAATATAAGGGAGTGTCCCTTTAGAAACCGCTTTCAGGCAGTAGACACCAGGGAGCAATGAAACAGAACTTCTGTATGTTGTTTACATTTACACTCAGATACTAGTTGCTTTTAGCATACAAAGGCTAAAATTAGAACAGATATGCAAAATATTAACAAGTTTTCTAACTGCATGGAGGAAAAAAAACCTGATAACCAAATTACCCAGCTTTTGCTGAGCTAAAAGCACAGAAACAGTGTTAGCTAAATATAAATTTATAATATTCATTACACATATGGTTTGGATACGATCAAACCATAAACTAGCTGAAGGCAAAACGGAAGGAAAAAAACCCCCCTCTCCTTCTTTGGATCAAATCAATTTGCTGCTTCTCCTAAGCATCAATAAAAAAAAATGTGGGATACAGTATTTACATAGTTTAATGGCTCCTTCTTATTGAATTTTTTGCAAGGTCCCAGTTTTCACATAATCATAAATCTGAACTCCGATTCACTTTTTCCCTTGTTTCAGAATCATCTCCAGATGTGCTGCACAGAGCTACAAGAACAGAAACAAGAAAGCTAATTCTACTGTGTCCTCTAAAAGGAAACATTTTTTTTTCAGAATTGTGGGCTGCTTTCTAGAGTATCGCATGGAAAAAGTACAAACACAAGCAGTGTTCTCTGTTTCCCAAGCTACACTGAATACAGTTTTCCATTTATACCATAACAAATTAAAATCAGTCTTCAAATCAACAACAGATGCTCTGGCATGCTACAATAACAGCTCTGCTGCTTGAACCACAAGCCCCAAGACTAATAGTTTTACAAAAAAGTTACTTGTAGCATAGCAGGTGCTGCAAAGGTAATATATGCAGGGGAAAATATACTGTGCCCAAGGCTACAGTAGCTGATCAGTAGTAACAAAATCAACAGTTGCACAGGGAAGAGTAGGTACAGATTCTGTACACTGACCTAAAGCAATCAGATGGGAGAAGGGATGGTGAAGGGAAGTTTATGCATTCATGTGCAGGAGCCTGGATGTCAAAGAAAATAAACACAAATTAAAAGAAAAGGAAAAAAATAAACTATTCCCAGCACTTGGGCTATAGCGTCATATCCTGGTGCGTAACAAACCTTCATCCAAAATGATTCTCAAGTCTCTTGCAGTCTTTAAAACAACTGGGGCTAAAATTATTGCACATAAATTACACTGATCCTGCAGCCCTTCTGTGGTAATAATATCACTGAAGTTGGTAGGAAATAAGCTGAATTTATACAAAGGTTGGTTGTCTCTGGCATACAAATTTTCTACAAAAGTACAGTGTGAATAGGAATGCATGATATCAATATGACATCAACATGCAATAAGTCTATGGGATTAAGTAGTAATTGAGGAACCAAGGACAGAGCAAGGCTGCACTTCAGTTACCTTTAGAGCAGTAAGTACATGTCTTCGTGAGAGAAAGGTTGGTAAGTAAACAAGGATAAGGGGAAATATCCATTTTGTTCTTCACATGATTTTTTCATGTGAGTTCTTTATGTGATTTGTCCACAGAATACAAAAACAAGTTGCTCTGATAACTTCCTTGTACAGTTTTGCCTCAGAAGAAATCCACGCACATTAATAAGAGCATGTTAATATACAACTAAGCCACTAACAACCATAACTCTGTCTCTGGTGACATACAAGAATCATCTGGGTTATGATGATAGTATTCCAGAGCTCTTCACTTGAGAGTAGATTAAACTTATTTTAAAAAAATGCATTCCATTTTTCATCTTGTGGTGCCTTCAAAGGGCAGAATTAGGGCATTCTTCCTTTCAAAGGACATTCCTCATGTCCTAACTGGGCATCTTTATGCCTTAATATATTTGGATTTCTTTTGTGGCATAACTACACCAGGAAGCTAGTGTTTTACTTTAGCCATTATAACAGTTACCTAAAAGCAGTTACCACAGGGTAGATCCAGAGGGCATGCAGTGGCATGGTTTCATCCTTTTTGGGCCACCCTGTGGAAGCAGCAACTGAGGACTTGTTTTTAAGTCCCCAAAGCAAGCAAGAATCCAACCCTGCCTTGTTCTTGGCATCCTCTCCCTCCCCCTCCATGCTCAGCAGCCCCTCCTCTGCCTGCTGCCACCGCTGTTCCTTCCTAACATGTAGGCAGGGGTGCTCCAGTGCTCTGCCCCAACCAGGCTGCGCAGGGAGCGCAGCTCAGCCAGGGACAGTAGCAGTGGTGGCAATGGGGGAGCTCCCCCAAGTATTCCCTGGGAACAGGGCAGGGAGGGGGAACTGGCACAGCTGTTCCCAGCTGATCCTGGCTCCACATGCCCCTCTCTTGGCAGCCACAGCTGGAGCAGAACAGTGGTGGCAGCAGGTGTGTCTCCCTGCATCCAGAGGCATAAATAGGGAAAGGGAGGGGAAGGCAGGGGAGGTGCCTCTGAGCACAAAGGGGAAGGGAGAGGTGCCAAAAGTGTATGTAGGGATTCTAACCTGCTTCAAGAACTTAAAAAAGATCCTTGCTTCAGCTCCTGGAGAGTGGTATGCCCAATCCAGTTGAGTGGGGCAAGGGGAGAAAGGCTGGGCATGGGGGATGCAGTTACTCCTGCAGCTCTGGTTGCTATTTCTGCACCCCACCCTTTTAAAAATTCTGAATCAGCCTATGGAAGTTCCTGATATGCACTGAGAATCTTAACGCTAGCATAATATAGCTGGTTATTTTCTGGGAATTCCCTTTTGTAGATTATTTTAATGTAATTTTTTTTTGTATGTAAATACTAAATTTAAGAGCCAGAGAGCTGCTATCATGTCATACTTATAATAATTTGGTGATACGTATTACCAATTTTGAACCAATTTTTCTTTATATCACTTCTTTATACCACTACCGAGCTTGCTGGATTTCCCATCATTTTGGCTAACAAAGTAGCACAAAGCAACTGGAGTGTACACTTTAATGGCACATGCTTGCCATTCCTCCCAACACCCATCTTTCTGAGTACACTCTTTCTCCATTTAATTCTAGTCGTCTCTGTTGAGTTGATCTGGTGCAATGGGTAGTTCTCAAGTTCTCTGGGAATATGGTGGTCCCAAATGCAGTCAGTAAATGGAGACTGGAGCTAGGTGGGGAATGATTTTCCAGTTGTATTAGAATGTTCTTGTTTCACACTGGGTGAGAGAGACCTTTCAAAATTACAAAAGTCCTAATTCATGCCACATAATCCCTGTCTACAGCACAGCAGCCAACAGCTCAAGTTCAAGCTTTACTCTCATATTTCAATGGCCATGTATTTAC